TGAAAGCTAACTTTGGTATTTCCTTAATATTTTTTTCTCCTACTAAAATTAGTATATTACATACAGATTAAATACTAATCTGATCAATTATTACTTGCTTTAAGAAAAATTAAAAATAATCGAGAACAAAAGGATCAATCCTATGAACTTTCACTAAAACCTTTGTATGATGTAATGAAATAAGAAAAACAGTCGATTTACTAAGTAAATACTGAAAGATCATAACATGTTTACTGGATTTATTTATCCTAATCATTATTGAGCACACTTGACGTAGGTGTACAACTTGGCCACATATTTGCCTTTGGGAATTTAATTAATCATAGTATGTGCGTAAGCGAATATGCAGCGGAAATTAATTGCTATTAGAAACGTCCTATCTACAATTGTTTTTATTTGATACGTTTAGCAAATAAAAGTCGTGTTAAGGAAATATATAATCAAAAAAAAACAAAAAAAAAACAAAAAAAATCGCTCACCTATTAAAAAAAACATAAATTTTGTTAATGTTTAGTATTCTTGTTTTTTGTTCGATTTATTCCTGTTAATTTTAAGTTCACTTCGTTTATGTTTTTTAGTAGAAACTTTATTGGCTTAAGATTTTTGTTCAGAAGTGTTTAACTAAATCTTATTAACTATACGCTGTATGTTTCCCAATGATAAATAAATAAATAAATAAATAAATAAATAAATTCTAGCGACTCACCCTCGCTTCGCTCGGATTGGTCCCTAAATTAATTCCCCATACAAACTTTCATCCCCATTTTACCCCCTTAAGGTATGATTTCCGGAATAAACATAATCTCAGCGTCTCAACTATCTTCTTACCAAAGATCTGAATCGGTCCTGTAGTTTTTAAGTTTGTTCATTACAAGCATACAAAAATACAAATCTTTCCTCTTTTTAAAAGTAGTGTAGATTTGCTAACTCTACGTATGTTGTCCCAATTTCAGTAAATTTATTTATGATTTTTAATTTCATACACAATTTGATCAGAAAAAAAAAACCAGTTTCTACCAAATTTCCCAATTTTCTGGACAACTTTTCCATATTTTTTTTCTCTAAAACCTTTATTCTGCTACTATATTTATTATTTAATACATTTTTAAAATAGTAGCCATAACGATCCATGATTCTCGTGTTCTTTACGAAGAGCGTTTATTCATTTATATTATACTATAAACTATATAGATTAGTTAATGCCAGCGGTTCTGCTAACGTAGTCGCTAAAAATAACATGATAGTTGATACTTAGAGTAGTTTTCGTCCTTTTATCTTTCACTAGCGACTTATCCTCTCTTTACTCGGGTGCATCTCTAGGTACGTTTTAAATAGATATAGTCATGTGGTTTCATGCTTTAGCTGAGTTTTGAAGATTTCACTCAAGGTTTAGCCAACGTTATCCATGTAAATTTCTAAGGATGACTCGTCAAAAACAATTATTGTGTTTTCCAATGGGAATGAAATATTTTCTTGTAGTAAAAGGTATCTTAAATTTTGACTCAAATAATCACTAACTATACAAAATTAAGTTTAAATCGGTTCAGTACTTTTTGCGTGATAAGTACCCAGATGTGCAGATAAACGTAAACGTATTTAAAATTTTACCAGTGTAATTTTTTTTTGGCAGCGTCCCACTAAGGTCTAAGAAAGGGGAGGTTCCGTTGAGTTTTAGTGAATAGTACTGGCTTTTATAGCCTGTGAGGCCAACATAACCTGTATGTATTCAAATGGTATACGTAAATGCATTTCCCATGTGTCAGATATACTGAATACACGGACTAGGTATTCAAAATTAAATATTTAAGTTAGATCACGCCCTGGAGCACGCGTGCGCCGTCTGAATGCCGGTGCCCTAGGTGGCCTCTGAACCCCTCCCCCCCACTCCTCCATTACCTCCTCTCCTTAAAGCCGGTGTTGACCAGGATTGAAATACCCAGCAACATTGGTCTCGTTATTTTCACAAAAACCCTCTACGAAAGATTCATATGAATTGCACGAGTGCTAAATAGATAGCTATAAGCTTTGTGGTAATATTTTGCTGTTTCTTCGATATTTTTCCTGGAAATTAAATCCTTTATTTTGCATCCTTTATTTGCACTACAAATTGCATCAATGACGCAAACTTACTATTTCAGACGTAGGTTCGTTTTTGACCTGCGTAAGCTCTAAGCTAGGGGGTATCTTATTTCGAAAATATTTGAGGAAAAGGAAGGAAGTATTGTAGTTACTTATATATTTTATAACACATTAAATAATTGTATTAGAATTTTGGTTTATTATTACCTTATATATTTTATAATAATTATTACTAAACTGCCTCGGTGGTGTAGTGGCTAGCATGTACGGCTGCACATCCGGAGGTCCTGGGTTCGAGTCCCGGGTCGGGCCAAGTTTAGTTATTGAGTCTTTCTGTATAGTAAGTCTCAGTAACCGCCCGGAGTTGGGAAGTTGGCGGTGTTTCACCCCCGTGCCTCGGAGAGCACGTAAAGCCGTCGGTCCTGCGCCTTAACTCTCACCGGTCGTGTCGAGTGGTCGTCCCACCGGAGTATGAGAGTGATAGGAATAGAGAGTGCACGTTGTGTCTGCGCGTACACTTGAGCACTATAATATCTCCTGCGCAGCTGTTGGCTAGTCTCAATGAGATTGGCCGCCGGAATCGGCTAGGAGAACATCATCAATAATTATTATTAGATTTCGTATTTAAAACATTGTTCGTAGGCGTTCATCGATTACATCCCCTGTAACATTCAAGATTAGCTTAGTTCTACAGATAAGACGATAATATTGTAGACTAATGGAAATATAACTTTTGCATGGCTTTTAAGAAAACTACTTGCAAATGGGCTAATATTTTAATACTTCTTAAACTGCCTTATTGGTCTAGTGACAATAAGTAACATTAGCATGTACAGATGCCGGTCTAGAGGTTAGATTATGAGAGTTACATGAGTAGGAAATGCACCTGTGACTTGATTATATCGAAAAAAGTTATTAAAATGATGAAAACTTATGAACGAGCGTCGCAGTCGGTAGGATTCGACGCTACCAGAGGAATCTGATTTCTAGTCAGACGCCAAAATCGCTCGACCACGACTGCTACATATTTATATTTGGCTTTATTTTACATATTTCGGCCGATACATTATATTATTTTTTTAATTTAAAATCAGTAAGGCATTACAAGGCTCTGTGTTTATTTCATCCAAATCCTTCCAGCTGTTTGAGCAACATGCACACAGATACAAATAAACGCAATTATAGTAGATTATATAGTCCTTACTAAATCTATTTACCTTCCTCGCAATTTGGTTCTATCTATTATAATAATATATTGGGGTATATAAGAAGGGATTCTTAATTGCAAAAGAAGTCCGTATCCGCTAACACTTGTGTTGTACCTAAATGCCCAGCATTGCAGTGGTACACTTCTACGTATTTCGCTACACCTGATCTAATTTGTTCCTCCAGTGAATTAACAAAAATGTTTCACAATTCTACATGAAAATGAGAGGATTTACCTCTCTACACCGTGTTACTAAGTAGTTTTGTGTAACAAATCATTAAAATATTTGTGTGAAGGACAACTCGGCCGAATTAATTAAATCGATATATTTTCCTGTAGTAAAAGTTATCCTAAATTTTGACTCATTTACCTATGAAGCTACGCTAAGGTGAATATCACTACACAAAATTTATCTAAAATCCATTAAGTAAGTAATTTAATAAAAGCAAACAGATATAATACAGACAAACAGATAAAACATTCAACAACTACATATGGTTTTGGGATCTATATTCTGTACACAATACGCATCAGTCATTATTTAAAAAAATATATTTTATATACAGATTTTACTTTCTTACTATTTTATTATTTGTATTTGTGAACAATTTACGTAAATAAAGGTTTTATATTCCACTGGAGTCCACTACTTAGGGTTCAGATAAAGAGAGGAAGGAATCTGAACAGATTGATTATTTACTCAAAATACAAATTTCACATCACATAAATCACTCAATAGGAGTTGACGGAAAATGAAAACAGAACTTCAAAAACAAACTTAAACTTAGTTTTATTGTCAAGATAAAAACCATGGGAAATGCTCTCAATACATTACCTAAGTCAATATGGGAAAACCCTTATATTACACGTATTTCGTAATTTGCAAATTATGCAAGAGCTATGATTGTCCTGTTGTGTCTACTATTAACATAATATTAACAATAAATGACGATCCACCTGTTTCCCTAAGAGGGTTTTTCTTACGGTCCAGATTTCTACGTCACGCAATGTTACCTGCTGTGACTGTGAACGACGATTCTTTAAAGAAAAGCTTACAATGAAATATAAAAACGCACTTAAAATATTTTTTTAATATATTTTACATAAATATTATGAAAGCTAAACTGAAACTATAAACACTGTTGAAAGTTATAAAATTGCGTAGTGTTCAATTTGTTCTTTCCCTTAATATTTTATAAAGTTATACTCATTTTTGTTAAGGACAAAATTGTAGTACTTTACTAAGCTTTGTTCTCCAAAAATTACCACAATGCTATATAAGTAATAATAATTATTAATTGGAACAAGTTAAGAAGGGATCGAAAACCACTACCTAGTACTTAACTCTCATTTTAGGCTACTAGCAACTCATACTTGCTTTGCTTGGAGACGTCCCTTTCTCTAGGTACCTTTTGTATTTAGACAGTACCACGTCATAATCTACATACTAATTTCATCCAAATCGGTCCTTTCCTTTCAGTTTCAAAGTATACGTACATTCATACAAACAATCGCTTTATTATAGTAGTGATTATGACGTTTTTCCGTTGTACTGTGCGGTTCTAACGTAGATAACTCCAAGCGTCATGCGCTGACAACGGTTCCATTCAGAGACTTGGCAGTGACCATTATAAGGCAAGTCCGAACGCACGCTTGTCACAATTACTTCAATAGTTGAATAGAACATTCGTGTAGTGAATTTTTTAGTTACAAAATGTTGGCGTTTGGAATTTTCTTTCTTGTAAGTGGATTTTGAATATTTTGGATTTTCGATTTTTCGATATTTACTAAAAACATATTTTGTCCTCCGAAAAATTAATTATTTCTATTTGTTTATATCTTAATTAAATTATACTTTATACAAAATATTTTTATAGGACTATATTTTAGCAAGAAATAAAAATGAAATATTTATTTTTAACAAATTAATACGATTCTTTCATGTTGACTTATGAGAGGTTTTTTTGCCAATAAGCGCCTTATTTCAAGGATATTTTTTGTTAAAATTCATCCAGGCTTCAAATAATTTAGATAATATTCCAGCACAAAAAACAAAACAAAACGAACTAAAACCCGTTCTGAATGCCAGTGTTAAGCATACTTTAACCAAAACCTAACCAAAAGTTATAATATGATACTGAAAACAAAGAAATATTATAATTTACTTTATTACTTAATTTTCATCAATTACTCCTTTATTTTATTTAAGGAAGGAAGGCTTCGTAATATGAAAGTTATCGTAGATACATTCAATTTTTTAATTGTATCAAAATCTATATACGTTTAATCAAAATATCATAAATATTAACATGTTCTTATGAATAAAAAACACTTCAAAGTCATATTTAATGTCTATATAAAGAGAAATCTTCGTACAAACACGACTGCACTTGCCCACGCAAAGTGGCCTGTCATTCGAACGGACTTGCATAAAAACGTTGTTTGATCCATTATAATATTAATGTATATCTTTCTGTTTTAGTTATTTTTATATTTTCTTTTTAAATATAGATGAAAATTTTTTTTTAAGGCCGATCGGGATAGTTTTTTTTTTTTAAATATTCACTATAGTTATTTTAAAATCGCATCTACATTGCATTTAGAAGGGCTATCGCACATCATAATATTCATTAAATTCACATTATTAGATATTACTTTGACTCTTCGTAAACTTCATAATTCCTTATTCTTCTTCTCAAAATATAACATATTATAGGAGAAAACCCGTGTTTGTGTAAATGATTGTAACTTATAAGCATTTCGTGTTTGATTACATGGTATCAAGTACTAATTAAAAGTGGCGATTAATTTTCGAAGATTGGTTTTGTGCTAGATTTAGAAACTAAATTGATATGAACTTTACATAGAATCGGTACAATTTTTGACTAAATTTAGACTTCTAAAAGTACAATTAAATAAAATTATTTATTCAAGTTTATTTACGCCCAGATTAAGGAAAATAAATATTAAAAAATATTAAGTATTATATGACTTTTTAAATACAAATTCTATTATCGGGTTTAATTAAAAGCTTTCTGGTTTAATCTGCATTTTTCAAAAACGTTGCAAAGACGTTACAATATTTATGAAGAAGTGACTTGTTCAATTTTTACCACATGGTTTGCTACAACACGAGAGCTTAAAAAATAACCTTTACAAAAACTTGTTTCATATAATTCAGAGTTCCTCAAACTTTTAGCCTCCTATAATAATATGTTGACAATATTAGAGGTTTAGCAGACCAACAGACAGTTTTTAGTTTTTTAGTCTTATAGAATCGCTTTTGGGTATATACAAGTTGATGATTAAGTATTGCACTTAAAATATTTCTGTGCTGATGTACTCACGAATTACTTGGGTAGAGGTAGAATACCACAGTTTGAGAATCCTTGATGTACTCTATACCTTTTATTTATATAGAGTTTGAAAAAGTAAGTTTTATTTTCCTACTATCTTGATATATAGCATATCTGTAGTAATATGATAAGTTTATGAAACTTGTTTACAAACCTATAAAGTTAAAGTCAATTTTTTTGTAACTTTGACCTCAACATAGATATATAGATACTGTTCTTATACTTCTTACTAGCATTGTATTATTGTGAATAAAACGAAATGTTCGATTGTTATACAATAAAATAATATTATTGAAATTATTTAATTTATAATATAAAGGTTATTTACCTTGTACTAAGAGATTGTGAAATAAATGGAAATAAAAACACATGCTTAATCCCTTCTTACAGCCAACTTATAAATAGATCATGTATGAACTCATTCAAGTATTGTATTACTAAAAATTCCAAATTTATTCTAAGCATGACAAATTTGTTACAAAAAATTGTATTTGTTCGTGTTATAACCACATAATTTGATACACATACTAAGTAAATCCCCTGTGAATCATGTCATTGATACATAATATTATTTAAGTTTTACATTTTAATGTTACTGATAAATTACAATAACATACAATTAATTGTAATTTATATTATTACAATTAAATATGAAAATTATGTTAAGTACATAAAAAATATATAAATTTAAATATCATTATATATCAAACTAACATTTTATTGATATTACTAGCGGCTTATCTTTACATAGCTCAGATGCGTCTTTAGGTTTCTAACAGTATCCTATATTACTTCATGAGATAAACTATATGTGTATATATCACCGTAAAATTGTAAATACCGTTAGATTATAATCTATCTAGCGAGATTGTAACTGTCAAATGATTGTGAATTGTAATTTACTGCTTACAATTTAACGCATTATTTTTCGGTAAATTATAAATTGTTAAATGGAAGAATTTACCATAGAGTTACAATTTTAGGATGAAAAATATATTTTATTAGTCCTTCCAGCCGTTTTGACATGAACAAATAACAAACACACATACAATCTTTCACAAAAATTATAATAGTGGTAGTAAATTTTTAATGTTTTATTACACAATTTAAAAAGAAAGTTTAGCCTTTCGAATAGAGAGCTGTAATTACCAATCTATACTATTTGGTTACTACGTAAGTACCTACAGTCTTATTAATAAGCTTTAAAGCTACTAGCGACTCACCCTCGCTTCACTTATGTTCGACCCTAGTTTGCGTCCCCATACAAATTTTCACCCCCTTAAGGGATGATTTCCGGGATATTCTTCCCAAAACCAAATTTCATCTAAAGCGGTTCAGTAGTTTCGGAGCCTATTCGATACAAACAAACATACAAAAAAATAAATTTTTCCTCTTTATATTAGAGATTAGAATAGATATGACAAATACATATCTATAAAGAACATGTCGGTGTACATATATATAGCACGTGGCTCACGTGAATATGTATATACAAAGCTATAAATTAAAATATTTATATATTATGTATCTGTATATAATAAAATGTTATTTATTACCACCTAGTCTGTTATATGAACGTGAAAAACGTATATAAATGTTAAGTGATTAATCGAAACGCAAAACGCATTCATAATGGTGTCGGATAATATGAAAAGTTGAAAGGTCTAATTAATTATTTATACCATATTGTGTTATGTACATGATGTATATCTACATAAACCGCCTCTGTGGTGATGGCGGCTAGCATGAAATGCTGTAGAGTCCAAGTTGTGGATTCGAGTCCCGGGTCGGGCCTAATCCCAAGTTCAGCTATTATGTCTTTCTATTAAAAAAGTGTCAGTCAGTAATAGCCCGGAGTTGGAAAGTTGACGGTGTTTCATCCCCGTGCCTCGAAGAGCATGTAAAGCCGGTCCAAAATGTCGGTCCTGCATCTGATCTCTCACTGGTCGTGTCGAACTGTCATTCCACAGAACTATTAGGGTGATAAGAATAGTGAGTGCACTTGTGTCTGCGCGTACACTAAAATATCTCATTTTATTAATACTTTCTTAGATTTACGCGAATGTTTGACATTATTAAATAAAACTATCTTTTCGGATTATTTCGCGGATTTATTTTGATTTTTGGTTCCCGACGTTTCGAATGCTTTACAGCATCCATGGTCACGGGAGAGACTGAGGTGTTACATGTCTTAAAGATATAGTTGTTACAGACAGCCTACCCACAATTAACAAAATGAAAATTGCACCAATTACATTACAATATTTTTAACTTTAAACATTTTTTATAATTTCAATTATAATTGAATATGGAAAATTATTTATTTAATTTTTGCTATTATTTTTATAATTATTACAATTTTAAAAATATTAATTAGTAATCTATATTTAGTGTTGCCATTATTATATTTATAACCATAAATAAAAAATATAAAAATATAGTATTAATTATTAAAGCCATATAATTGTTCTATGTGTAATTTAAAAAGTTAAAATTAATTACGGATAATCATTTTAATTTAGTTTGCTATTATTTAAAAAACAACTTACTAAGCAACACTATTAAAATATACTTTTACAAATGAGAAATATTAATCTGATATGCTGTCATTTTGATCTACACAGTATGAACTTACTACATCTGCCTGTCTGTTATGTTTATATTTATTATTTGATTTTATAATTATATTTTATAATAAAATCAAATAATAAATATAAACATAACAGACAGGCAGATGTAGTAAGTTCATACTGTGTAGATCAAAATGACAGCATATCAGATTAATATTTCTCATTTGTAAAAGTATATTTTAATAGTGTTGCTTAGTAAGTTGTTTTTTAAATAATAGCAAACTAAATTAAAATGATTATCCGTAATTAATTTTAACTTTTTAAATTACACATAGAACAATTATATGGCTTTAATAATTAATACTATATTTTTATATTTTTTATTTATGGTTATAAATATAATAATGGCAACACTAAATATAGATTACTAATTAATATTTTTAAAATTGTAATAATTATAAAAATAATAGCAAAAATTAAATAAATAATTTTCCATATTCAATTATAATTGAAATTATAAAAAATGTTTAAAGTTAAAAATATTGTAATGTAATTGGTGCAATTTTCATTTTGTTAATTGTGGGTAGGCTGTCTGTAACAACTATATCTTTAAGACATGTAACACCTCAGTCTCTCCCGTGACCATGGATGCTGTAAAGCATTCGAAACGTCGGGAACCAAAAATCAAAATAAATCCGCGAAATAATCCGAAAAGATAGTTTTATTTAATAATCATTTTATTAAGTTAATCGTGCCATAATTTTTTCCTAATATTATAATTTCGAATTTGTTGGATCTAAGTTGAAAAAAACACTAGCAATTCACTCTCGCTTCGCTCGGGTTCGTCCCTAGGTTGATTCCCCATACAAATTTTTATCCCCATTTTCATCCCCTTAAAGGATGATTTCCGGAATAAAAACTATCCTATGTCCTTCCCAGGATCTCAAAATATATTCTTACCAAATATCACATAGATCTGTTTAGTAGTATCGGAGCCTATTCAGTACAAACAAACAAACAAACAAAAAATCAAATCTTCCCTCTGTATAATATTAATATAGATAATATTTTTTATTTAATTAATTTTAAATGTTTAAACAATTGAATTAGACAAAGTTTCAAACAAAAATTACAAAACACTTATTCCGTTAGAATCATAGCACGCATGCGTATTAAAAGCTAAAATCTGCGCACTTACATAATTGAACACGAACTTAATAAATCCTATAATACTTCATAAATGTGTTTTATATTATTTCTCAGAAGACTCACTCACTCTTCACAGTTAAAATGTTATTGATTGTTTATATATCACTTTAAATACTAAGTAACTGTGAATGTCTTAAAATATATATATATATATATATATATATATATATATATATATATATATATATATATATATATATATATTAATTGAACTTGGAAATAGTTTTATTATAATGTTATTATTTATGTATCATATTTAATGTATTATATGTAATAAGAGGAAAATTGTCGTAACAACTAAGTAGTCTGTACACTGACAAGATAACATTCTTCAATTAATAATGCAAATTCTTCAAACAATAAAGCAAAAAAATATATGGATATGACATATAATTTTCAAGTCACGTGATCAGTAATTTCTATATTTCTAACGATGTCGATTATAGAAAGTTAACTTGTCAGAAAGCGCTAGTGTGCAAGTACATTTTAATGATAGAGATCTTGTTTTTCTACAGGTCAGCGCTCACGGGCTGCACACAATATCTGCAGCGGTTGCTAAGCATCGTAAGTAATCTTAGTATACTAATATTATGAAGAGGTAAAGTTTGTGAGTTTGTGACGTTGTAGGGGGTAATCTCTGGATGTACTGAACCGATTTAGATGAAATTTGGTAAGAAGATAGTTTGAGACCCTGGGAAGGACATTTTATCCCGGAAATCATCCTTTACCTTAAAGGGATGTGATGTGACCTTAATGGGGATGAAAGTTTGTATTGGGAATCAAAATATATATTTACTATAACTAGCTAATATATACATTTTTATTCAATTTTGTTCGCATAAAGGATTTAGGTACGACTACAAAAATATATTAATTCTCTGTCCTTTCAATATTTAAGTCATAATATACTTAGTACCATAGTACTTTAGTTTTTCTGCGACATATATTTATGTACAATAGACCATATAAATATTAATCGCACTTTGAGTGTTATCTGTTCTTAGATTTATGCAAATATTTGACTTTTAAATGGAACTATATTTTTTTATGATATCGATTCACCGAATTAGTTAGCAAAAGTCCAAGTTGCAGTACTTAACAAAACCGTACTGATAGAATCATAGTATGTACTGACAACATTTTAAAGGGGGCATTTAAAATAGGTTAATGTATGAAATCATTATTCTCTTTGCGTGCTCCTATCGTATATGACCATAAGAAATCGATAAGAAATTGGTTATTCACATTTTTATTTTCCACTTTCAGCTAGAGAAGAACTGCCTATTCAATATCCAGAGCCTATAGAGGACGACGTTCCTGAAGCCTGCAAACACCTAACCTACTGCACCATCAAACCAAAAAATTACCCTGAAAAGAAATTCAACGACATGCTAAAAGGCTATGTAAGATACAATTTTTAGTAATCCTTACTATTTAATTTCTAAGAAATTAATTAAAATTCTAAGAAATCTATTGTTAACTGACACCTCGGGGTGTCCGCGGTCGTGGGGATTAAATATCTGGTGATTTGCTTTTCTTTACTCTTATTTTCTTATAACACGATAACTTTTTATTCCAAATAAAAATTTAATTTATAATTTTCCCTATATAAAAAATATTTAACTCTGCAAATTACAGCATTACAAAAAATTAACTAATGGTATTGCAATATGAAAATAGAAAAAAATATACTCTATATGGCAACATTTTATATAAATTGTATAGAAGGACCCACGTAGACTTCGCAGAGCAGCTGATGTTGCAATTCCTCCATCAGTGTCGGCGATTATAACGAAATTTCCGCATAATTAAGCCTTTCAAAATGTAATAACTTGTTTACAATATCCGAAATCATGAAATTCATCAATCAATCATGAAGTCGTGAAAATCATTTTAATAAAAAGCGTTACCAATAAATATTTTTAACATGTTACTAATATGTTTATATATATTGTCATTCGCTTGTAGTTTATACTATAAATTAAGGTTAGCCCTATCCAGTCCACTATAAAACTTAATATTTCAAATAAAGTCGTATACAATATACATCCCATTAATAAACATTTGCAAGCCCATAAGAATAATATTACTTTTATAGATTTGCTAGTTCTCACTTTGAAAAACTTTGCTTCAAATAAACAACTAATGCAGTATAATAATATTATATTTTTTATGTCTACAGAAAGCCATACCACAACCTTCGATGGTAGTTGAACTCCATAATCGTCAAGGTGACCCTGATGATGAAGACAACTGCGAAAGTGAAGTCACTGTAAGTACAAGTTTGTATATTATCTCAACAAACCAATTTAAATGAACCCAACTCAAAGGTTTTGTCAGAAGTCGTCAAAGAATTACATCATCCACCTTTGGGTTCCATTATCAGATTGGCTCAGTAGACCAATATTGTCTTTCAAAACACTTCCAGGCACAGTATGACGGCATGCTACGAATATCTAGACAAAACTAACACTTTTTTTCAAAAAAAAATCTGTCTTAAAAGTTTATAATCTACACATACATAAATATAATTCTTCGGTGCATGTATTCAGACGTTTTTTTTAATGTCCCACTGCTGAGCTCGGGCCTCCCTTCAATGCAAGGGGGATCAGGCCATAGTCCACCACGCTGGCCAAGTGCGGATTGACGGACTTGACATGTCTTTCAAAAACTTGCCACGTTCTCTTAGACATGCAGGTTTCCTCACGATGTTTTCCTTCACCGGAAAGACGAGTGGTAATCATATTCGATCATATGATTCGCACATGAAAATATCAGATGTGCGAGACCCGGGATTTGAACCCGCTTCACTCGGTTTCTCAAGCGAGCGCGTTACTACTGAGCTACAACTGCCTTTCGTTGCATATACGATCTCTAAGTATATATCAAACCGTGACATCACATCGACCACTCACCCAGGTGTTAAGCAAAAACCGATAAACTTAAATGCATTTTCGCATGTGTAGCAAATCTGTTATAAATATATGCTAAAATAATAAAGAAATTACGAAGGTTGACCTCGTACAACATTGTCAAAAAGTAATTATATCAAATTATCATATACAAATGATTATGTACAAGACCAGTAATAATGCAGATAAACGCGATACGGAAATCACTGAAGCCAAGGTCACTAGCAGGTTTTCTTTAGAACATAATATATAATAATTTTGCATATATGCTTTTATTTCATGTTATAAAATCGACACCTAATAAAATAATATAGTGAATATTAAATAATTTTTGTTTTTTTTTGTTATGGTAATATTTCAGATGAATTACAAACCTATGATGACCTAAATGCGAATTTTATATTTTTTAAGTGTGTCAGCATAACATTTTAATGATTATAATTTTTTTTTAATATTATAGTGTTCTCATATATAACTTATATTATATTATAAATTTGTTTCAGTTTGAACCCTTATACAAAGTGAGGGAAAAGGAATACAAGCCATGGCGTACGGTTGTGCAAGCGCCAGAACAAGACTTCGTCCAACGCGTACGCCTTGAGACGTGCATGTAAGTATAATGAAAATATTATTTTCATTTAGCTCAGAAATTATAATATAATTTTATAGTTTATTTTGCAACATTTTTAAAAATATCTAAGTCCTAAGCTAAAACTAGACTCACATATTATGTACGAGTATGTCTTCCACGCATATAAATTTAAGTATGAATATCAGGCAAATTACTAAATTTTACCATAAAATTATATTGCTTTCTCATACATCTAAAATACAATCTTCTTCTTCTCCCTGCCCATTTCCCAATCACTTGGGGTCGGCGTAGTACATCTTCTGTACTGCTGAAAGGATTTGGCAAAAGTTTTACGACCGGCTGCCGCCTGCCTGACGTCAACCTGCCTTAGGAATGCTATTGTCTCTCTTTGTCTGAATGGTATCGCGAAAGTCTTGTAATTATTATTCGCTTTCGATTTTGTTGCCTTTTAAAACATTTTTCATACTATTACTTAAATTTTTAATGTTATGTTTGGATATATTTTAAAATACAATCTAAAATACGATATATGTATAAAATATTCATTAATTACAGAAATACCGGTGCGCCATGCTTCAATGTTTTCACTCCTCTACCAGAATACGTAACCTTTTGCAAACAGAAAGTGAACACTTGGAAAGTTTTAGTATCGAAAGGAAACAATCAAACCGAAATGATTATGGCAGAGTTGCCAGTTTGCTGCTCTTGCCATTATCGTCCCATAGACTTCGTGACGCGGTTCGGGAAACCTAAGGAATAAATGATAATATATATTTATTAATATTAAGATTAGAATTATTTTTAATTTAATGATAGACTAATAGTATTGTTGTTAATTTCTTATTACGTAAATATAATTTTAAGAAGTATTTCGAAGAGGCTTGTTGACCAAAATTTTGTAGTGAGTGATATAATCTCCCTAGAAATTGTTGTGTCGTCTTCAGACTGATAGACATATTTAAATATATATTTAGAGAAATTGTCGTTTTAAACTTTTTTCTATTTTCTTGAACATTTTGTTTTGTTAAAAGTTATCCTTTGGTTTCTGTTAGCTTTTGTTATTTAAAATGGCAAAGTAAAAAATATTAAGGTTATTTTATTAAGATTTGACAGATATTCATAATAAATAATTTATTTAAAGTTCGTTGATCATTGATTGATTGATGAATGGTATTCAATAATTATAATATTTTATTTTTCATACCTATTCGCAGTTTCATGTGATCTATATAGTTTAGTTTAATAAAAAAAATTATCCATTAAAAGAATTTGTTGTTGTCAATATTTTTTTTTTAATTTAAGGAATAAGGATTATTATTCAGATGATCAGGACCAATTCAACAATAAAAATAATTTAGATTCAATCTAAATTAATATTTTTGTAGATACTACCTATGCCTTGTATTTTATACTACCTGTATTTATTTTGCATTTTTGAGAATAATTAACACTACAATTTAAGCGTAGACAAACAAGTTTTATTTTTTTTAACACTATTACTTTTAAAAATAATTGACTACGGTCGAAAATCTGAACAAATTCCAAAACAACTGTGTACATAGTATTTGATATTTGCATGTTTTGACTAGTCATATTAGGATTTTAAAATAAAATGTTCTAAGTACCCTTGTGTTTATTTTGCCCCATTTACATTAATAATTCTATAATATAGTCACCAACGTTGAATGCATCCCATCAACAAATTCAGCTGCTGACCTAATTCGTGTTTCTATCTCTTTTGAACCACATTAACTATGCAACATATACTGCTGCTATTTTCCACAATGTCGAATTCACAAAGATGTGTTGTCAACTTTTTACAAAAATATAAATATCTCTGATGAAGTTCTCTCGTATCCTGATGACTACTTCATTATACTAGGAGACTTTAATATACCTAACGCAGTCTGGTCGAATAATAGTTATGGTGATGTGACCTTACATGGAGACTCTTCGTTACATACAGTTAATGAACTAGCAAATTTTCTTTCTTTTAATAATTTTAGTCAGTACAACATATTTAAAAATATTAATGATCGTATATTGGATCTTTTAATAGCTAATATTAATTGCAAAGTCAGTTTAGTATCTACTCCAATAGTTTCCGAGGACTCGCACCATCCAGCATTTGAGTTTACGATTTTAAAATCACATGAGAAACCGCTCGGGGCTCGGGCTCATACAGTCAAGTTGTATAGGGATGCTGATTATGAGACAATAAATATAAATCTCTCGCAAATAGACTGGAAACCTAATTTAAGTGACGGTAATATTGATGTCTCTGTATCGAATTTCTTAAAAAATTTAAATAATATAATAGAGAAACACGTACCTACTCAAACTATTAAATTTAACACTAAGTACCCGATATGATATAATAGGGCATTGATTAAAACTATAAATGAAAAATTAAAATTTCATCGCAAGTGGAAGGTGTATGAACGGGATAGTGATTACGTATATTTTGCCGTATTAAGAGAAAGACAAAAACTTATGGAGGAGGATTGTTATAATAAATTTATCAATAATGCTGAATACAGGATTGGTATTAATAGTAAATTCTTTTGGTCTTTCGTAAAATCTAAACGAAAAGGTAATAATCTTCCAGACACGATGCTTCTAGATGATTATACGACCTCAGATCAGAAAATTTGTGATTTATTTAATACTCAGATTTTAATGTTAATAATAATTCAAATCATAACAGACAGAGTTCTACCTCGGCGCAGTCGATAAGTATCGATTCAATCACTTTTACAATCCCTCAAGTTTCTGGGTATTAAAAACGCTTGGATGTCAGTAAGGGACCAGGGCCTCATGGCATTCCAACCTTGTTTTTAAGGAGATGTTACCATGAATTAGCTGAACCATTAGTAATTCTGTTCAGAACTTCCATGAAGTTGGGTGAAATGCCTTTACAATGGAAAAAATCGTTTATAGCTCCCATATTTAAAAGTGGTAATAAACACGACATTTCAAATTACCGTCCTATTTCAAAATTAAGCTCAATTCCTAAATTATTTGAGAAAATTATTTACGATACGCTCTCTCAAATAGTTTGACCATTTATAATCCCCGAACAGCATGATTTTGTAGGTCGAAAGTCTACAGAAAGTAATCTTTGCAAGTTTCTTGGCCATTTCTATATCGCTATGGATAGTGGACTGCAGGTCGATGCAGTGTACACCGATTATACAAAAGCCTTCGATAAGATTTCATATGGTATTCTAATACAAAAACTAGAACAAATCGGTGTACATGGTGATTTACTTCGATGGATATCCTCTTATCTTAGAAATCAGGCGGTTGCAATAAAAGGATACTGTTCATCATTCCTCTCTGTTTCTTCAGGTGTTCGTCAGGGTTCTCATCTTGGTCCGTTGCTGTTCATATTATTTATAAATGATGTCATATCCTGCTTCCATAATTCCAAAGTTTTCCTTTTCGCAGATAATATGAAAACTTTTAGGTCCATTAAAACTTTAGAGGACTGCAATCTACTTCAAGAAGATCTGTGTAGGCTAAGTTCATATTGTCAAGCGAATGATCTTTACCTGAACATCTGGAAATGTAACATCATCTCATTTACCAGAAAAAAGAATCCCATCCTCTTTAATTATAAGCTTGATGACAATTTACTTATGAGAGTAAATGAATTGCGTGATCTTGGTGTTCAGTTGGATAGTAAGCTGGTAATGGGGTCTCTTAATAGTATTATAACTCAAGGAGCTTACAAAATCCTAGGTTTTGCTATGCGTATCTCGAAAGATTTTAAACAGTCCACAACTTTAATTTTACTATTTAACTCTCTGGTGCGGTCTATTCTTGAGTATTATTCTTCGTGTTGGAATCCTCAATACAAAGTTTATCTTAAAATGATTGAAACAATCAATAAAGAATTTCTGTGTCACTTAAAGCATTATAATTCATCTGTAGATTCCATTATCAAAAACTTAAACAGTAATACCCTCGAAAAACGCCGTGATATAAGAGATCAAATGTTGTACAAATTACTACATAATATAATCGACTCTCTCCTACTTTTAAGCAAAGTGAATCTTGCGTGTCACAGATTAGGTGCACGAAATAAACCTCTTTTTGCAATACGTAAGGCTAAAACGAAGTATGCTTTAAATAATTTTGTATCTCGTGTATGTAACAAGTTTAATTTAAAATATTGTAAATCTCATATCATCTTTCATCTTAAATTTAATAGTCATAAAAAAAATATTGTAAAACTTATATTTATAATAGGTAGTTTTGCTGTAGGTTGTATGTATATTGTTACTTTTAACTTTTAACTGCATAATTACTTGATGTTTTATTATGTGGTAACATTTAGTTATTTTTAAATTTAAAATTTTTATATAATATGTGTATATGTATTATCTTGGTGGTAAGCTTTTGTTTATGTGTTGTTAATCTGTGGAAACTTGGTTGATTTTAGCATTACTTTTATATGTTTTAGAATGTAATTATTTATTGTACTGTTTGTTTCCCTTGAAAAGCTAATAAATAAATAAATAAACATTTTAAATAGAATTATAGGGAGAGTCCCTCTCGTGACCATGATTGCTAGAACTCATTCGAAACGTCGAGAACCACAAATCAAATATTTAGTTAAGTGAAGCTTACCATAATACATTAATGAAAACCGCACCCAAATCGGTTGAGCCGTTACTGAGACTAGCGCGCACAAACGCACAGATAAACAGACAAAAATTCTAAAATCCATTGTTTTGGGTTTTATTATGTTAATAAAGACCTCCTGATCACAGTTTTTCTCAAATATCTTCCATGTACAGACAGCGATCAGTTACACTTTTATTATATGTATAGAAGTCAATTATTCGCGAAAATCTTAGAGTATTATAATTCTATAATATTTTTCTAAAACTACTGATGATGTTTTGAAATAAGATTACATTTGTGGGTTTAATAATGATTTAAGAAAATCACAATTGTACCTTTAAAAATAAATCAATAACTTTTCCGGAAAGTTGAGAATATCGGGAACAATTAAAATTTTCTTTTTTTTCCAAAAACTCATATGACCTCAATATCACATAAGGAATGCGTACTTTTTTGTTAATTTTAATTATTAACAATGTACTTACTATAATTTATACGCTGTTTAAGTTATATTTAATTGTACGAGTACAACTAATTATATGAATCGAAAACTCTGAATAAGGTTTTGGTGGTTAACTATACTAAATAAAAATAAAGAGCCAAAGTTTGTGAGTTTGTGACGTTGTAGGGGGTAATCTTTGGATCTACTGAACCATGTTGTAGTGTGTGCGCAAGCGGTCCTGCAACGCCCCATTGCACTGCGGCGATGGGTTCCGCTGTGCGTTTTAGTGAGTAGGAGTCTCACAGTACCTTGCCCGTTATGACGGCCGGCAAGGTCCCCATGATGGGTTTCCCCAGCGAAAAAACTGAACCAATTTAGATGAAATTTGGTAAGAAGATAGTTTGCAACCCTGGGACATAGGATATATCTATCCCGAAAATCATTCCTTAAGGGGGTGAAAATGGGGGTGAAAGTTTGTATGGGGAAGCAACCTAGGGACGAAGCCGAGCAAAGCGAGGGTGAGTCGCTAGTGTATTTATAAATGTACATATTATTTTTGAATAGGTGAATGAATATGCATATATATTACACGCGTATACAATGCCTTTGTTTTTTTCAAATATTATTCATACTTTTGCTATTAGTGTTAATTAGTTTAATCAATTTTCTTGCTCTTAATTGAA